TGGTGCTGATGAGGCTATTCACCCCGCTGTGTAGCCTGCCTGGCGTCTCTCCTCAGCAACAAGCTGGCATCTTTTGTCTCCATCGCTACAGCGCTCATCAGCGAGGGCTGTGTGTGTATGTGTGTGTGTGTGTGTGTGTGTGTGTGTGTGTGTGTGTTAGAGAGGCAGAGAGAAAGAGAGAGCCTGCCGTACGCTCATTTAAGGAGCACTCGCTGAACAAAGTTGATTACACATTCATTAAAGCCGCAGCCTCTCGTTCACCCGCTCCACTTGACCCTTCCAAGTGAACATAGTCTGCATTCAGGACGCAGGGTGTGGATTATCCCTGGCTTGCTGGTTATGTTTGGGAACTGCAGTCAAATTAAAACTAAATAAATAAAAAAATTCTGAGATGATAAGATGTGTGTTTGGAGTGTACGTTCTCATGCTCACTCCACTTCTACATTCCTCTCACTGGCTCAGACAGCTGATACATTTTAATAGATACTCTGGATACATTATATAATAATAGACCGGTCATTTACCCCTTTAATTAAATTGAGAGGGGTTGGCTGGGATTCACATTCTATATGATGTTTTTACCTTGCACTGACAAACCACATCAAGATTAATTTCACTTTGACATGGTTGGTTACCCTGTTTGTGTGTCTTAATCACATTCTCTGCCCACAGGTTAAAAATAAATTTTAAAAAAAGGACACTTTTTATTTTGTATTACTATCCTTATGAAGAGCTTTCTTCAATTACAGTAATTACAATTGACCTGACTTTGTTATTCCACAGATGAAGGTTCTGTGAAAAGTCCCAATTTGAACCACTTTAGGAACCTGTCTCCTACATGAAATTTAGTTAATAGTTAATATTTTGGAGTTTGGTTGGTGTAATCTTGGCTTTTTTTTTTTCTTGGACCAGTGCATGGGATTTTGTAGCATCTAGTAGTGAGTTTGCAGAACCAACTGAAACCGCTCACCTCAACTGAATGTCAAAGTGTATAGGAGAAACTACAGTGGCAACCCGCTCCCTACTCATTCCATTTCTGCCAATAGATTCTCCTGAATGTTACACACTGGACCTTTAGATCTAGTTTTACCTTTTCAGTCCTCTAATAATTATTTAAATGAAACACTGACAAAGTCAAAGTCAAAAAAGGTAAAAAAAAAAAAATCCCTCTTTAAATGAACAGCTCAAAGCTCAGACGTCATGTGACGATAGATCACACAAGGACATCACTTTGTATAAAGGTTTCACATATAGGTTGGAAACCACCAATTAGTCACCACCATCCAGTCATTACCAGACCCCAGCAGGGCCGAGCTCCAACTGCAGCCATTTCCACTGGCTGTGAGCACAGCAAGAGTGCACTCAGTGCTGTGGCTGGATGGGTGCAGGTTGTGTGCTGAAACAAACCTAAGAACAGCAGCTGGCATGAATGAGGTAAAAGTTTTGTAACACTTTAGCAGCCATGTTAACCTAATAGTTTATGTAAGCTCTGCAGTTAGCTACATAGGAATGTGGTGGCATTCATTTCATGACTGACTGCTGCCTAGGCTGTCACTGTGACAAGCTGTGGTTGTAGCTTTACTGAGACTGTGCACATGGCTATAGATGTGGGCATTGCTGGGATTAGGGCTATGGCTGTGGCTGTTAAGATTAGCAATGCTGTGAAACATATTTTGCATTATGTTGCAACACTAATAAGCTGGTGAAGCTAGAGAGTTCTGTTGGTCCTCATGAGGAAACACAACCACAAACAAACTCATTTGCACTCTTGTACACTTACAGTATGAGCTAATTTACTTGGAGGATTATATGCAGACATGGAACATTTCCTTATCCAGCTCACTGACTCCAAATCATCATATCAGGGCAGGAGGCATCAAGGGTGCAGGTCTCGTTCACACTGTAATCAGATAACTACATTCTAATGACATCAGCCGTAATGCTCTCGTTCTCTCCCGGCTCACTCGCTCTGGGACTTGGAGGCTGAAATGTCTTGATACTGAGATGGTCTGCTGCCTTTCACGCTCTGTGTTAGCAAGAAGCCCAATATTGTCCAACACTTACACATGTATAACACATGTACAAGTGTTGTGTCCATGCATTTCTAGACATCGTAACAGGTCATCAAGGACAGTCCCATTCCTTAAAATACAAACAAGAAATTAATCATTCTGCATACCGTTTGCAACCATCAAAATCCCAAAATCTATTTAAGGTCATTCAGGAGCTTGCCAACTGGCTGGGAATTTGGGAAATGAGAGCATGAGATTAGGTTGTATTTGTCAGGTGTTTACTCTCTGGTTCTCACTGGTGAATACAAAATTAACTGGACCGTGGAAAAAGCCATAGTGAGCTGTAATTGATGGAAAGCCGGTATAAACTCCACTGTTTGTTTGTTCTAGCATGTTGTTAATCAGTATTACCATTATTTACCACTTTGTCGGACTGTACTGAATGTCCTAAAAATGTGTGACTTTACGAATGTTTGATGACGGGGGCTGTTGGTTCAGTTTGGCCTTCAGGTCCTTCCTGTGTGTTGAGACAGGATGCAAGAATGGAAAGACACAATTCGATGTCAGTTAACCCAGGCTGACACATCTAAAATGAGTGAAAAATTTGCCTGTATCTGACGTAATTTGCTTCATAAATGTACAGAGACGAGAGGCTGGCATAAAAGAACAGAAATAACTGGAGTCAGTGTTCACTAAACTGAACACACTTGTCTTAACACAACTTTCTAAGTAAATATTTTACATATAATATATATACTTTATTTGTATTTATTTTTATAGGGACTGCTTTCCCTGCATTCTAAGACATCCGTGTGTTTCCATACTAACTGAAGGAGCGGGGGTCACTGTACCGTAAATGATTGCATGTCATCCAAAAACAAATCTGGCTATATCACTCACGGTAATATATTGGGTTAATGATATGTCAAATTATACCATTTTCAAAATGCATGAATCTTGAGGGCATAAACACTATCCTACCAAATGTGTATTGTAGTAAAAACATTTCAAAGTTGAAGTCCCAGACTATAACTCAACGTAAAGCACACAGCATCAAAGCCTGAGATGTATGATTTTGATGTTCTCATCACTGAACTGATGACTTGGCCAAGACATGAATCTCCCAAATGTTCTGCAGGATGTACTATTTTTATATTCCAGCCTCTGTGAGTGTGACCTCCTGCTGTCACTGCACCTTGTTCATACTTTAGTGTTAGATATGTTTCCATGTCTCCAAGACAAAGTTTTGCCAGCTTTGCCTTTGATGAATACAGTGATATAATACTGATTGTCATTGTGATTCCAATAAAGTCATGTTGCCGTACATCTGTTCCTTGGTTTCATGTCAGCTGACACTGGAATTTATAACAACAGCTTTTGTGCGCTGAGAATAAATCAGGAGTCAGGAGGGGAACTGTGTGTGCGTATGTGTGAAAGTAGAATGATGGGTGTCAACAGGTGATCACTCTCAAAATGTGTGTGTGCATGTGTTGTGTATGCACGCTGCAAAGAATATCCATCTTGAAACATGATTTGAGCAAGACCAAGGGCTGATAATGTGATAATAGTGAGACTGTTGAATTAATTTCCAATGCATAACTAATGAAGAAATGTTTCTTTAAACTTAAATACTTCACTAAGACTTATTAAAGTGGATTTGTTCTTGTTTCATACATTGTGTGTGTCCGTGTCTGATAAAAGGAAGATTTAGTTATTACGCTCACTCCAGGATATTTTTGGTAAAAAAAAACTTCTGGCTTCCATTAATTAACTCGACTTCCTTTGAGAAATGATATGTATAAAAATACAAACTATGCAAGTGAGTGTCTTGAAAGAAGTTCATCGTGATATAAAGTGAAGTCCATTAAATTCACTGTGGTACTGACAGTTTGACAACTTAATATGTTTTCACTAATATCCCATGCCAAGCTTGTCATTTTTTACAGTGGTTGTATGTATCTGTGTGTGCGCGTGTTTACCACTGTAGGAGGTTAAGACAGTTTGTCCCAGTAGGATTCCGCAGCCCATGTAACCTTCCTTTTTCCTGGACCCCAGCAGAGTGAGCTGCGTCTCTGCTCCCCTCGCCCTTTTACAGACATTATGCTACGCAGCAAGGCACATCACTGCACATTAGAAAGCTACAGCTAACAGGCTGCTTGTGCACATTCTAGGCTGCAACGTCTACAAAGCCCTTTAAACCTGATGTTAACATGCATCTTGTATGGCTGGATTACATTTGGATGGAGCAACAGCATATGAAATGTTGATATTTGAAAGTACAGATACCAAGAAAAATGCAGTGAAACAGGCAACAAGAGATGTGTACTGTGTATGTGTATTGGAGATATATTTGTTTGGCATAAATGTAATCCAGCCAAATCGCATTAAGACACAGAGTGCATGTTACTGCCAGGTGGAAGGGTAGAGCAGCTAATGAGAGTTACATAAATATTTCACAGTTTAAAATTGGTGCCTTGCATTCAGATCATGAACTGGTGTCGTGTCTGATAAAGGTGGAGCGGGTTACACAGACAGGTAGCTGATGGGAGAGTTATTATTGTGAACCTATTTATTCAGTAGGAAACTGGAATGTTTCATAGGCTCTCCATTGCAGGTCGATCTTTGAGCTACAAGCCAGGGCTGTTTAGACAGGGTTTAGTGTTGTCACGGCCGGATTCATCTGGGATTGAGGGTTTTAGTCAGTTTTCACTTGAGGATCACTATTGCCTCCTCACCATTTGAAGCACCTCTACGTTTCAGAGAAGATGCTCCCAGCTGTTGAAGACAATGTTTAGCCAGATGAAAGCAGAACTAGACGCTGCCGACGTTTCAGGTAATTGCCAGAACTTTTCAGCAACACCTGCAGGGGATCTTCAGAGCACTCCTTCAGCCAGATTGGCACTCAACTTGCACATCCAATTGCTCAGGGGGTCCTGCTCAGGGAGATAGAGTTGGCATTCTGATCAGCAAACACATGAATGCCCACACTCAAACATGCAAAGTTCAGAGTTTATGCTTTGTTGTTTTTCTTCTGGCAGAGCCTTTCAACTGAAACCACACATCTGCCTGTGTTTTCAACGTGGACCTTCTGGGGGGAGAGTTCCTGTGGAAGCCAGGTTTTCTCCACTAGAGGTGTAGAGAACTTTCTGAAAACCCAAGGTCTCCAAGCTGTGTCTATTTTGCAGAGAACACCCCTGTTAAAATGTTGTGTTCACAGCATGCTGGTCTCATGTTATAGCTCCGCTCCAAAATAGACTGTGTGAAGTCACACAGCCTGTGTGACTGCGGATGTGTGAACCTTCACTCCGCACTGAGAGATGGTTGGTGTGACAAGTAGAGGCTGTGAAGATTGGAGGCACTAGCGTCTGCTTCTGTTTGGCTTTTGAACTGGAATGTGCTCATGTCGTCTAAGGGCTCATCATCAGTTTTTGGCACCAAGCAAACCTTTCTAATGGGAGTTGATCATTAGCTGTGAGTGGCATGAGTATTTTATACAAGGGCGTTGTGGGTGAAGACACACTCAGTGACCAGGGACATCGTCTCACTTGCAAATTACCTAACATAATGTTCCAGTGAACACACTGGAAATGTATTCATCAAAAACTCAAAGCCACAGTCACTGGCAGACAAACTCACACATTCACGCTGTACTTTTGCAGGAATACACGCAGGCAAAAGCAACAATGTGAACAGTCAACTCACTCACTCTCCCTGCTGTCCGGCAAAACGCCACGTGTCTTTCAGGTCTATTCCTGCAGGTTGTTACTGGAGTAGAAACTGGACGTCTCCGATACAGTTTTGGAGACGCTTCGGGATGATGACCCATTCGAGGTGAGGTCCAGTGAGGAGCCATGTGGTTTGGCCCCGACCACAGCCCCTCCAAGCCCTGGACCTGCTATCGCCTTGACCTTTGGCTGCTCCATGTCATCCCCAACCTGGAGAATAGTGGACACGTTGGTCTCCATCCGGCTGGCCTTGTAAACACTTGTCTGTGTCTGAAGGTAGCGAGTGGACTTGAGTTCCAGGCCTTCGTAGGAGCCTCGAGGGACACAGGGGCAGAAGTGGAAAGCTTGCTTAAAACCAGCACGAAACCTGTGCAAGAAAAGCAAAGATTAGCCATACTTAGTTTGGTTTGGTTTTAGTTTTAACTGAAACAGACTTAATTTAATACTGATGTTTCTATATGACCCATCTAAACAAAAAAGACCATCAGCAAGAAGACTGGCTATTTCCATATAGTTAATATTAATGCCTGCCACCAGGTCAGATTCAGCTGGATTCCCCTTAAATTTAATTAAACTAGGTGGTGTAGGGGTTTTAACTGACTGGTTCACCCACAAGTCTTGAGTATCTTTTGCTAAAGCCATTGTGGCGACAAGGGGCAATTACAGGATATGGATAAATGCTAAAAAATAGAAGAACAGTAGCACAAGTAAAGACAAGTCAGCAAAATGACTTAACTGGACACAATTTCCATTCTCAGTTTGCCTACATTAGCCATGTTAAGTTACTGGCATTACCAGACCAAGAAAGACTGTAGCAGTGAAGTTTATTAAATTAATCAAGAGTGTGTTTTATTGTGAATTTGGTGAACATGGTGGTGCATTTAGCAGCTAAAGAGCCAGATATTTCCCTCCCTCCCTCAGTTGGTGGGAGGCTGAATAGCCTATTAGACTTAAATTTGTCTGATGGACTGAGACTCCAAGTGAATGCTAATGTTGTTTCAGGATGTATAAATAAACAACTGCATGCTAACACATTAGCAACATCAGCTTTATAAGGAAATCAGTCTACAGCTTGTTGGGCTGCCCCTGAATGCAAAAATACAATTAATGTAGGTTTAAAGGGCACAGCTGTTGCAATCTGTATCTTATTCTTAAATCAGCCTAAAATTCCGTAACATCTTAACAACAATGAAATCCTTCAAGTTTTGCACAAATCCTTGAGAAATTATAGTTGAAAAAAGAAAAACATTTTAAGACATTTATGGGACCCACTTTAGCGTAGAGCATACCAGAAAGCCCATGATGTTAACTCTTCATTTGCTGTTCAAAGTAGTCACACACCAAAGAGAATACAACATCATGGGTCTCTACAACCACATCTTCAGTCAATGGCACATCAGGGATGAAGATCACAGACGAGGTCATGTGTATGGACATACTACTGTTTCTTTTATAAACTAGCTAAAAACTGATTTCAGAAATAGAATTTCTATTTTGACAGTATTATAAAGTAAGCACAACAGTTGTTGGTGCTGTGTTATTCAGTTAGATGATCACGTAATGCAGTTTACAGAAATGCCAAATAGAAAAAATCCCATGACAGTGATCCTAAACCAATTCAGTATTTACATATTCACAAAAACATTTTCCCACTTCACTCTATTAAAAGCAGCCAATTTGGAAATCTGACAAGATTGTTTACTATACAGCTTGTTGTAGAGCCACAGTGACAGACAAGACTGACTGATACACTGTTTGCATTCTGATTCGGATTGGCTAATAGCGAAAAAGCACGACTGTGTGTAACAAAAGCATTGTGATGTTAATTAAGACTAAGTGTTGCACGTGACATTTACTACTGACCTTTATTAAAACACTAAAAGCACTTGCTGTTTGGCAGGTGTTCATTTAAATGCTAAAAATATTCTTCTATGTTGTATATGAATGACAAAAACCACAGAAGGAAGAGATGACGGAAATAAGAATCGTGTGGATGAGATGAAGGCATCACAACGGGCTGGCAACTGAATGGAAACACCTAAAAAACACACACACACACACACACACACACACACACACACACACACACACAAAGCCCAGACAGGGGGAGAAGTGAAGTGAAGGGTGGAAAAGGGAAATGTCAATTGCTGAGAGCAGGAGAGAGAGATGAGGAGATTGATGGAAACTGAGAGGACACGCATTTGAATTTAAATCGGCTGAGCTGATAGAGACAAAAGCCGATTGATATCCTGTACAGAATGATGACTAAACCTCTGCTCACTGCGGTCCAACCCACATATTTTCATTTTTAGGACTTGGGAATTTCAGAGGCGAAAACACCCAAGTGTGAAATCTCATTTCTCCGACAGCACAAAGACAATTAACAGGTGGCCGCAATGGAAGACAATGGGAGATGATTGATTAAGGACAACAAGCAGAGTTGACCATCTGTCTTTATTATACCAGACAGATTTTTAAATTCATTGACATTTTTGTTGACAGGCAGAATGCTAATTACGCCACAGTCTGAGAGTAAACTGTTGATGTTCACAGTGGGATTTAGCAACTTTCAGAGATGGGTTTTAAAGTTTGTTTAAAGTTTATTCTAACTTCATTCCATGTGTGGAATCTTTGAGGTTTCTTTCCAGATGAGCAATCTCAAAGTGAGCATAAGCAGCCTCTCTGCCGCAGCTGAGTTTTCAACTGCTTGTCACTAAGGCGGCAGCATTGCTATGCGATGAGTGTAGCTGACGGTGTGTGTGTGTGTGTGTGTGTGTGTGTGTGTGTGTCATTGGATGCAGTCCTGAAGGACAATATGATTGCTGCTAAACAAGAAAAAAACATTTTACCCCCTCAGGAGTTGCCATCTTTTCGTAAAAAAAAATAAAAGCATATATATATATATATATATATATATATATATATATATTCCCACCACTTTATTTTGTCAAAGGACAAAAAAATTACATGAGGATAGTATCACAAATCATAGGACTATATTGGAACTAAAAGGAATAAATTATTCAGTTCATGAAGTTACAAATAGTGTAATGAAACACTACACCATAGAACATTATAGAAATGAATTGATATGATTTACAAGCTAACAAGTTTTGATGCTGTTCTGTGCAGTCAATGAGGCGGTGTTAGCCTACAAGCTAACGTTACATCTGTCTCTAATACAAACCAGATTCAAGCTAAAAGCCTTGTTCTCTCTGCAGTTCAAGTATACATTTGTTTTCCCTTTTTCAGATAGGACAGCTGAAGATAGTTAGGAAGGGGATAGAGAGAGAGGGGATTACACGCACAGGTCAGATTTGAACCCATGGCCACTGCAGCAAGGACTCAACATTGGTACCTGCCCCAGCTCTACCAGGTGAGCCACCAGGTTCAGTTCAGGTACATGTTTAAGAATTTACAGTAGCTCAATCAGAAATACATTAGTGTGTGTGTGTGTGTGTGTGTGTTTGTGTTTGTGTGTGTGTGTGTGTGTGTGTGTGTGTGTGTGTGTTTGTGTTTGTGTGTGTAGGTGCTGACTAACCTGTCATTAAGGCAGCAGTAGATGATGGGGTTGTACATGGTGGAGCTCATAGCCAGCCACATGATGGCCAGGTAAACCTGCTGGATGAATGTTTTTTCAAACATTTCAGGAAAGAACTGGTGCAGCAGGAAGTAGACGTGGAAAGGCAACCAGCAAATGGCAAACGTACACACCACCACGATCATCATCTTCACCACCTGTTGGACACATGACACCAACATACTTTCATACAGTCATTTTTACTGCTATGCTTCCTCCTCCATTCTGGATTTCACTTGTGTCCATTTATTTTTGATAAAGAAGGGCCAGGGAATGCAGGGAATGACAAATTGGTATTTCTTTAATATTGCAAAAAGCCTTCATTATGCCAGAGGTATTACTGATTCTTGTTTATTGTCCAAATGCCAGACATCTCAGTACAAACCAGAAAGTATACTTGTTCCATAAATAATATATAATACATAATACATGAAAAACCTGCCCAATCCCATCAGTCACCATGATGTTACAGCAGGTTTTGTCAGTTTCGTGCTCGTGTTTGTAATCTTGAAGATGAGACATGCTGCACTGCATTAATTGTCTCCTCTAAGGACTGAGCATTCACCTTCTCTTCCCTTTAACAAGCTTCTATGTGGGCTAAACAAGTGGCAGCAAATCTGTCCATCCAGAAAAAGCTCAGCTGCTTTGAACTTTCGATCTTTCAAAATGGAAATCGAATGAACATATGGCACATCATTAGTGCTGTCAATAACAGGCATTGCTCACTGACAATGAATTGAAAATAATGTACATGGACAGGCATGACAGATCTGTGAGGCTGCCTCATTAGAGTTAGAGGTGGACTCGTGTCAGACATGAGTGTGTGTACCAAATCTCATAACAATCCATCCAATAGTTGTTGAGACATTTCACTCATAAATCACAACCACATCCCCAAAGGGTATGTCCGATCCTCTATACAGCATTTCACTGCAATCAGCCAATAGTTGTTGAGATATTTCAGTCTGCAGAAAAGTGGCAGACCAATTGACTGGCCCACATTGCCATCTGTGCTATCATGGCTAAAAGTAGGTAAATAAACAAATGAATCAAAGCAAGACATGAGGAGAAGAGAAAATACTGAAAAATAAAGTATAATAGGATGACATATAATGAATAATACAGTTAGCAGAGCCAGATTGAATGTTCAGACACTACAGAGACACCTTAGTAAATAGGTCTGTGTAAAGTCTCATAGGATTCCAATTTCATGTTCTTGAGTCAGAAAGGCAAGTCTCTGCAACTGTCTTCATTAGGAGAGTATTGTCTAAGGGACTGCAACACTGAAACTGTGAGCACTGCTGACAAGCATGGGCCATGAAAGATGACTGAAAAAGTAACAGGTAGAGGATGTAGAGGATGAGAGATGATGGCAAAAAACAGAAGACGAAGACGAGTTTGCGGTGGGCTGAAAAGAAAACAGGTTATGTAGACATGAGCATCGCACCCTGTCCGGGGCTGCAGTTTACAAAAGTGCTTGTGCCAAGGTTAAAGTAATCTGATTACTGTAGTTGACGATTCCAAAGCTGTGGGCGGCTGTCTAAAATGCAATGTTACCTTGCGTTTGGCAGTCAGCTGCTCCTTGTAGCGGTCGGAAGAGTCTCCAGGGATCTCACTGGCCCAGAGGGTCAGTCCCACCACCAGATAAGCACAACCCATCACCAGCAGAGGAAGGAAGTAGATCAGGATGGCCACACACACATAGTACCTACAACAAAACATATATCCCATTTCACATATAAATTGACGTTTTTGACTCAAGAGAGACACGAGTTGAGCCTGACCAGGGCTGAGATGTTTGAACCGGAGCTTCCCCTATCTGATTGGACGATTGTCCGATCCCCTGAAAATAAGAATAGTTGTGTTTTTGTTACCTTACCTTTGTTTCTTCAGTAGCCCAGAACAAACAATCCAAACACTAGCCACTCATATTTTTTTTGCTAATTTTGTGGCCATAATAGTTTCTCTTCCACTCTTGGAACAGGAGGGTGAGGCAAGGGGATTGCAATCATCAACTACACCTCTAGATTGTCACTAAATCCTTCACACTGGTACTTTAATATATCTTTTAACTGTAACATTTTGGAGAGATTTGGAATTTATTTCTGTCTGTAATAATAGAAATGAGCTACCATTTATGAATATATAGACATATATATACACAGGGACACATACTTGAGATACTTAAATACTGCAGTTGAAAACAAGACAGTAACACAAGATTTTTGCGGTCCGAAAAAGGCTGAAGCAACTACTTTACTTTTATAATTCTGACCCTTTTAATAAAACATCATGTTTAACCTCAGAAGGTAACGTTGAACTGCAAAAAACAATCCACAAATGTTTATTTCTAACCATCCATTTTCATATTGGTTCAGTATGTTATTTTAAACATTTGTTCGAACTGCTTTTTGAACATAATTTTGGAAATTCCTCTCAAATCATATAGATTTTCTCTCTTTATAAACCACTTTTGGATACTTAAGTCAGGTAAGAAAGCCAAATCATAGCAGCACATGTTTAATGATGTCATTGTAGGAACATCACAGGTGTTTCTAATAACATCAACAATAGCTCTGTTCTATTCAAGTGTCCCAGTGAGACATTCAGTGCATTTACACGCACTTAAAGGCTCTGCACACCCACGCAGCTGTTATCAATTACTCTAGCTGATTAGAGCTGTATTCAGGTGGACGTCTGTGTACAAATGAGAATGAAAACTGTTGAAAATATTGAATATAAAATGTGGTTTCTCGAACTTACATTTACAGTTTATTGAGCTTATAGCACAATTAGTTCAGGAATTATGCATGACTAATATTTTTATATATAATATATATTTATATATATTTTGTATATATATATTTTTTAATTTAATGAACGAATATGAAATCCTATTTTGTATTTGGATGTGAGAAAGCATCGCAATTAGGGATGTCCGATAATATCGGCCCTCCGATATTATCGACCGATATTCACTAAAAAATGTAATATGTTTGTTCTGTAGGTTTCAGCATTTCTGAGTCTGCATGAACGCAGCATGGGACGTTTACCGACGCGCGCTAGATAACGTATAACAACAACAACTACACACTAGACTGGTTGGTTGCTAACCGTGGCTAACAAGCAAACAATTTAAAGCTGAATGATTTTAATATTAACACACAATAAGTGTAATGCACCTTAAATATTTGACTCTGCTCTGAGCTGTTCCTTAACCAAACTAACAATTGGTTAGAATTTACATTAGCGCTCCTTCAGGTACATAATACAATTAAACACAATAACAAAAGCTAGCGCTTAGCTAGCGATTAGCGTTAGCGCTCTTTTCAGTATTAATATAATGAAAGTTGAAGTTGTTCTCTAACTTTGCACAGACAGTGTTTACATTTGGAAAGCCATGTTGCATTTATGTATGCATCCAGTGGGGCATCACAATAAAATTAGGCATAATGTGTTAATTCCACAATAGGAGATATGTTATGTTGTTACCTAACAGTTTTGGTGTAAAAAGCCTGCATATATCGGTATCGGGTGATATCGGTATCGGAAATTGAGAGTTGGACAATATCGGAATATCGGATATCAGCAGAAAAGCCAATATCGAGCATCCCTAATAGCAATGGCAACATTTTGAAGAAGTTGTCTGAATGCTTGCTGGAGTGTTGCTGCAGACGGACCGTCGAACAGATTCAGTAATGTTGGAAAAGTTTGAAGCAGTCTTACCACATGACAAAGAAACGGTCACGAATGGCTGTGATTTGGCTTTGGCTTAAGTTTCTATGCATCATTATGGAGTCAGCTCAGTCTCAGTGTTAATGAACAATTCACAAAGGTATTTTAGGATTTATATATAAATGACTCCTTAAATTACTTTTTGTATATAAATGTAAAACAACTCCATATATAAAATAAGGTTTATAAATGTATTTCTGGTGTGCACACATACACAGACACAAACACACACACACACACACACACACACACACACACACACACACACACACACACACACACACACACACATTTTTTAAATAAATGTAGTAATAGAAATCCACAATTATGTATTTAAAAGTATTTGCAGTTGTCAATAAAAATATATTTGGATGTTACTCCATTTATATACAAACTGTTGAATTTGCATTTACAAACTGTATGAGACTCCCCTGCTGTGGCTCAATGCATTTTTTTCAACATAGAACTATCTTTAGCCTGTGAGATGGCCGTGCATTATATGGTAAAATAAACATATAATACACAGAAGAAAAGTATCCAGAGCAGATAGCCAATGCTCTTCAGATCAATAAAATTTATTCTGAATTTGTCAGCTGCCAGGAGCCTGGCTAAATGCATTCCTGTCCCAGAGGAGAAAACTGATTATGGAAGAGTAGTTAAATTGTTTTACATAACAAAAGAAGGAGAAAATGAGGTAAAATTACATTTGTGCTAAAGGAGCTAATAACTACACTTTGAGGCCACTTTAAAGCATCACAACAAGCTGTAAATACAACATTGACAGATTATTAATTTATGAAATTTACAAGACAAACATGTCAGCAAACAGTTGCCTTTTTACACATCCAGTAGATCTAGTTGCCACATCCTTCACTATGATCACCTGCTGGTTGCTAACTTCGTCTGTCTGGCACCAAACCGATAGCACACAGTGGGTGTATCAGAGATTTTTTTTACTGAAATGACATGTTGTTAGCAGCTTTAAAGGTATAGTGTGTAACATTGAATAGGGTCTGTTGGCAGAAATGGAATATAATTTAGTGTATAATTACCTAAAAATAAGAATTGTTGTATTTTTGTTACTTAGAATGAGCCAATTTTATGGCTTTTTTTGCATTTTTCATGGCCAACGTAGTTTCTCTTACATGTTTGGTTGAGTCAAAAGATTTCGGTTGCGATCTGCAATCTCACTGCCAGATGCCACTGAATCCCACACACTGGTCCTTTAACAGTACAGTGCATTACCCAAAATACAGTTAAATGCTTATTTTGGGGGTATTTCAGCTGCAGTGGGCATTTCCTAGTTAACAGAAGGTCTGTAAATCTATTTTTCAACATTCCAGCCCCTCCAGCAAGTACTAAAATAAAAAGTTACTCGATCGAGTCAAGGGCTGAATCAATCATCATTAGTCTGTTTGCCAGAGGACTGAGAAATAATTTAGCTTTGTGACACAATTTAAGATGTGAGGGGCGGCAGTTACTGTCCAATAAATTTCAACTGTTTATGAAATAATTAAATATGACAGTTTCAGTATTTAGCTAATGATTTGGTTATCTTTCACAGACACAGTGTGTGATCTTGTTAATTCCCGGTTGAGTGTGTGTGCTGTTTGGTATGTAGTATGTCAGTACATTTGTGTCTTGTGGTCTGTGTATATGTGTGTGTTAATATCCATTAAAATGTGGGAAATTGTATTATGCCACTTTGAGGTGTGTAGATTGAGTGTGTATATCGTGTTTAACTGTGCTCAGGGAGGGACGGCCCCCTGACTTCAGCATCCACAGAGGGACAATCTGTTTTCCCCTCAGTGAACGCTGCAGATGAGCCTCACAGGCCATTTCCTTGGCAATTAACTACAATTATGTTAATCCCACTGAATACCCGGGAGCACGGGAGCTTTCATCAGAGTAAATATGACCACAAACTGAGACACACAAACACACACAAACACACACACTGCAAAGAAGGTGTGTTACCCACTCAAGGGAGAACATTGTGTAGATATCAGAGCCTTGAGAGCTTTATCAGGTTTAGTCTTTAGCCTGAAGGGATCTCATCCGCAGTTAAAGCTTTTGAGATAAAATCTGAGTTTCCACCCAAAGAACCTGGACTTTTAAGGCCAGAAGCTATTTCTCAAGGAACTAAAAGGTTCCTTCAGCCCACTGTTGTCTGCATTTCCACCAAGGTCTAAAGACCTGTGAAAATTAGGCAAATTAATCAGCTGGTGTATGAAAAAGCAACGGCTGCTTTCATGCGTCATTTTTACGTGTGACTATACAACAACAAAGCCTGGCCTCTGTCGTCAGTTCATCTGTCGAGGCACAATAAACAAAAAAAACAACTGGTTTGCAGCTGCAGATTTTTAAATTGGTGCTGAAATAAAATGCTCAAGTACTCAACAGAAATGTTCAACGCTTCAAGCTCCACCGCACAAAGTTCCTGTACTACCCCCCCCCAAGCAGGAACTTTTTGGGTGTAGTTTAAACCTTAGTTTTTGGTTCCTCCAAAAGGTTCCAAGTCCCTGGGGAACATTCCTTTGGTGGAAACGTGGCTATTGCCTTAAAGGCTTAAGTAAGCAGTATGAATCCTTCACAGCAGTGACTGCCTGCAATATTTTTGGATTATTATCTGTAGTTTAGTTTGTGCTGGTTGCAGGGGATACAATAAACACGGTGTGACAAAATAAATCCATGGGTCTAATTTTCAGAGTACAATTAACACGCCTCTTAAGCCCTCTCTGTGGGAAAGGAGTATTTACCAGTCTGTTCTGTTTTTAAGTATGCTTGCACTCGACTCAGTCTTTTCTTCTCAACTCTTTCATCCAAATCCAATAATTACTATTGGATTGCCTTGGCATTAAGTGGATGTAAAATAAAGAAAAGCAATGAAATCAACTGAATGTGCTCTTATTAAGGCGGACTCTAGGAAAGCTTGTTTGTTTAAGGAAAGTCAACTTACACATTCAGTAAAGT